TTTTTTGTGTGTGTTCTTTAAATTCACTGAATTCTTTTATCATGTTTATAATTGTTCTTTTGAGTTCCATGTCCTGCATTATCTCTAGGAGGGTTCTCATTGTACTCCTCTAGAGGACTATTGGTATTTGGTGGGGATAGGCTTTTTTGGTTTTTCATGTTATTATTTTTTCTCTGTGATTTTGACATATGGATTACTTTTGTAGTTTCTGATTCTTGTGTGAGATTCAAGCCTTCAATTTTAGGTCTGCTTTTTTTGGTGAACTCTATTTGTCTTTGTGGTTTACTTTTTGGGCATGAAAAGCTGGTTCCTCTAAGCTTCCAGTTTCCTCTTTTGATTTTATATTGCAGTGGCCAGATTGCTTTTGTCGTCAGGAGTTCCCACAGAGGCCCAAGTCAGATGAGGATCAGATGCTCTCAGGCTTTCTCCCATGGTCTGGATCCCTCCAGGAAAGATTTTGGCCTCAGGAATTTGGGGGTTGGACTGGGCTGGGAGCTGGACCCAGGAAAGATGCTGGTCTAGGGCCGCTGGTGGCCATGCCACCCAGAGATGCAAAGGCAGACGGGAACAGAAAGTGGCCCCAAGGGTTCCTGGGGACTGCCCTGAGGCACTGGGTTGGTCTGGATGCAAAGGATCACGAAGAGGAAAGGTCAGCTCCAGTATCCTGGAAAGAGGCTGGCTGGTGGTGCAGGCCCAGGGAAGCAAAGGGAGGTGAGGGCAGGGCCAGGCCCAGAGTACTCCTGGGAACCTGAGAAGGTGCTGAGTTAGTCTGGATGCAAAGGATCAGGAAGCAATGGTGGTTCCTCAGGTGTCTGGGGCCCCAAGACAAAGAATGGGACAGGACCCAGTCTAGGAGGAGAGACCGGTAGGGGAGATGGGAAGGTGAGTGAGGCTTGGGGAGTCAAGGTGCTGAGAGAGTGATGGACTTACCCCAGAGAGAAAGGCCTGCAGGTAAGAGAGTCGCCTGAGGGTCCTGCAAGCCCAGGGAAACAGAGGGAGGTGAGGGCAGGGCCAGGCCCAGACCAGAGAAGGCACTGAGTTGGTCTGGATGCAAAGGATCAGGAAGCAGTAGTGATTCCTTAGGTGTCTGGGGCTCCAAGACAAAGAATGGGACAGCACCCAGTCTAGGAGGAGAGACTGGAGAGGAAGATTGGAGGGTGAATGAGGCTAGGGGAGTCAAGGCACAGAGGGCTTGATGGACTTACCCCAGAGAGAGAGGCCTGCATTTTGGAGAGAGATAACTACAGTTTTAAAAGTTAAATTAAGTTTATGTCTAAGGAATTGTACTCACAGTGGTAGCTAGGCTCCACCACATTTTGAGAATAATGATAAAAATAAAATGAATTGGGGCTGAAGAGATGGTTCAGTGGTTAAGAACACTGACTTTTCCTTCAGAAGACCCAGGTTCAAATCCTAGCACCCACATGGCAGCTAACTCCAGTTCCAGTGTATCTGACAGCCTCTCTGTCCTCCGCAGGCATTGCAGGACATGGGCACACTTACCTACATGCAAGCATAATGATTATACACATAAAATAAAAATTATAAATAACATATTTTTCAAAAGATGCAGTTTAATAAATAAATAAATAAAATGAATCTATAAAACAGCCTCATTGAACTATTTCAATGTTGTCACCTTTTTTTTTTTGGTCTTTTGTAAAGAAATCACTATAATGGTCTGAATTTTAACAAGTACTAATTATTTGTATGACACGCAGGCTTAGTTTCTGACTTATTTGTTTGATACAATTAATATAGATATGTGATCAAATAATAAACTTAATCTTGGACTCCATTAGCTTTCAAGTAGAAAATAAAAGTCCTTCAATTAACAAATTGAGCAAGGAAAGAAACATATGTTTTAGAATCGATCTCTTTTTTGAAACAATGTCAGCTATATAGCTTAAGGCTGCCTTACATAATTCCCTGTCTCCACCCTCTAAGTGCTAGGATTACAGATAGGCATCATCATGCCCAGTTTTAGAACATCTCTTAATGAAAAGAAAGATGGACAAGTTTCTAAATTTTGTAGATTTTGTCAGCAGGATTTATGCGAAGACTGGTAATACATTAAGATCTACCCTATCCAAGTTTTGGCCTTCCACAAGTAAATGAGCCACCACAGATGCATAATCTCTGTTCCAGATAAATTCTAGAAAAACTTAAGTGACAAATTTATATTAATGAAGTCTATCTCATACTGCATGCATATTTCAAATTATCATATGTAATTACTTAGTAAAGCTTAATTTCCAGAAGCACAGTTTGGTTAGATTTTTTTAAACACACCTTATCTTATATTCTTTACCATTCTTATTTAATGACTTTTATTCTAATATCATATTGTTATTTCCTTAGCTGTTTACAAGCACCACACAAAAGGATTTTTTGTAAGAATTAAAGGAATATGTGTGGAAGTGGAGATGCACCAAAGTCTGGCGGGATTCTGGAGCCTTTGAGGCCTGGAAAACTCCACGGAGATCTAGGGAAACTTCTGAGGGATGCAAAACTTCACCGAAATCACAGGAACCACGTAGAGTGGTTGGTATAGAGCAGATGAAGGGATGTGTTGACATTCAGTGATGTGCCTGTGGACTTCTAACAGGAGAAGAGGGAATTTCTAGATCCTGGTCTGAGGGCTTTGCACAGAGACCTGATAACAAAGAATTACGGCTGTCTTGGTTTTGTTGGTGAAGTGAATTTTCAGTGAACCAAAAGGAAGTTTCTCAAAAGAAAGAGAAGACTGTTTATGCATTGCCTGGAAAGGAAATTCACAGAAAGAGGAGAGAGATGGCTTCTTTTCAGGATCCATTGACATTCAAGGATGTGTACATAGACTTCTCCCAGGAGGAGTGGGAGTGCCTAGACTCTGCTCAGAGGGCTTTGTACAGGGAGTTGATGTTGAAGAACTACAGCAATCTGTTCTCTGTAGGTCTTGCTGTGTGTAAGCCTGTTCTGATCTCGTGTCTGGAGCAAAGCACAGGGCTCTGGAATGTAAAGAGATGGGAGACTGTAGCCAACCAGCTCATGAGTGCAGTGTCTTCAGCAGCAGCATCTTGTCATCAAATCCTGGTGAATTCAACTCTTAGGAGACATCAGAGGGTGCATAATGTAGAGAAAACCTACAAATGTGAAGAATGTGACAGGTCCTTCACTTTGTTGTCAAATTTCTAATATTATCAGGGAAGTCATAATGGAGAGAAACCCCACAAATGTGAAGAATGTGGCAAGTCCTTTAGTCAGATGTCAAAGTTTAGAGTACTTCATCAAATACATACTGAAGAGAAACCCTGCAGATATGAAGAATGTGGAAATCCCTTTAGTCAAATATCAGATCTGTGAGTACATCAGTGAATATGGAAAGAAACCCTACAGATGTGTAGCATGTGGCAAGTTGTTTCGTCAAATGTCAGTTCTTAGAGTATATCAGAGAATACATAGTGGAGAGAAACCCTACAGATGTGGAGAATGTGCCAAAGCCTTTACTCAGATGTCAACACTTCAATTACATCAGCAAATGCATAAAGGACAGAAACCCTACAGTTGTGAATAATGTGGCAAGTCCTTTTGCCAAATGTCACATCTTAGAGTACGTCAGCGAATACATACTGGAGAGAAACCCTACAGATGTGAAGAATGTGGCAAGTGCTTTCATTGAATGTCAGATCTGAGAGTACATCAGTGAATATGTACTGGAGAGAAACCCTACAGATGTGAAGAATTTGGAAGTCTTTTATGCTGAGCTCAACTTATAAGACACATAAGAGAATTCATATTGGAGAGAATCTCTACAAATGTGAGGACTATAAGAAGTTCTTTAAAAATATGTCTCACCTTAGTAATTCATACTTGAGAGAAATCGTACAAATGTGAAGCATGTGAGAAGTTCTTTAGTTGTATATCAGATTTAAAATTTCATCAGAGAATTCATACTGGAAAATAACCAGGCTTATAAGACTGAGAGCTCAGGACACAGAAGATAGCAGAGAATTCATACTGGAGAGAAACCCCACAAATGAAAAGGGCTTGAGAAGTCCATTACTTGTATTTTAACTCTTAGAGAACATCAATGAATTTACAATAAAGCTAGACACTGCAACATAAGGAATGTGTCAATTCCTTTAATCATATGTCAAATGGTAGCAGTTATCAAAAACTCATACTAAAGAGATAATTAAAAATTGCTCAGAATATAGTACATCCTTTACTCTGGCCTCAATCCTTAGAAAACAAAACAGAATACATACTAGAGGGATATGTGTAAAATTCTGGAAAATGTGGAAACACTTATATTTATATATTCCAAAACTTCATAGTGTACTGAAGGAAAACTTAGAATTAAGTACAAAATTGCAAAATTTCTAATCAAAATTTATTTTTAATTCATATGTGTGAGAAACTAGCAACATAAAAAAATGTGAGAAAGCCTTCACTTTCCCATGCAATCATGCTGAATATCACAGAATCTTTATGCATTATTATTGTAGTTACACAAAAATGTATACAGACAGACAGATGATAGATAGATAGATAAATGATTGATTGATAGATAGATAGAATCATATCTACAGGAAACTTAGTTGTGTTCCCAGTACTGTAGATTTTTGAAGACTGCATACTGTTTGTTATTTTAATGTGGAAATAAATTCAACCTGTCTTGTTTCTTGGGATTATGTGATAATTTATTTCAATAGTTGCTGCATGAGAACTGATGAATCCATAGTACATTATCAAGACATCATTAATATTAGTTGCACTGTGAATGAATAATTCTTCATGCAAAATTCATGAATGACATCAAAAGGTTGATTTGCTTTATTTACTGGGTGGCACTAAGAATGCACGTCAGTGTAAAGTAGGAGTGCTGGGCTTCAGTCCTTCGCTAACTCAAAACAGTCAATCCTGAATATTTGAAAGGAATTATATTTTGATTAGTAAGATGAATAAATGCAAGTGCATTGAATTACTAATATTTTATTAAACTAAAAATTTAAATATTTTTGTAGGTCATTTTGAATGTTATTAATAAAAATTTGTGTAAAACTAAATTGAAAAGAGAAAATAATCAAAAAAAAGTTGTATGTTTGCATGTTCATCCATGACTATATTAAAATTTTAGTGTTGCTCTTTGAAAATTCAGTATAATTACATTCAAGTTCTCTATTAATTTAAAGAAATTCTGTTTCTTTAGTTCTTTTCAAATATATTTTGACTAAAATGCTTTGAATTCATTTTGAAACTGTTTTAAAGATGCATATAAGTCAATGTTTTAATAAATCAAGGATGTGTTTAATGATGTAACATGGAAATTCTATGAAAAATATTATCTTCCTTCCAAAGAGAAACTCTCACATCTTGTTTTAGCAGATGATAAGCCAAGGCTAATAAAAGGATAATCTTTCAAAATTGGGTAAATCAGTGGCTTTGTTTTCCCCAGGAATCTGTTCCTTGGGGACTTAATCTCAAAAAATTTACATGATCTACTTATAAGAGATTATATGATGTAGTAGGGCCATTATAATAAATATAGTTAAGATAAAAAAAAAATAAAGGAATATGTGGGCTGGAGAGATGACCCAGCAGTTAAGAGCACTGGCTGTTCTTGTGGAAGACCAAGGTTGGAATCCCAGCACCAGCATGATGGCTAAAAACCATCTGTAACTCCAGTTCCCAGGGGTCTGATGTCCTTTTCTGTCCTACACAGGCACTACATAACACTGGTGCACTTATATGCATGCAGGAATAACACTCATACACATAATAAATAATGAATTGATTAAAAAATCAAAAGAATATTTTATCAAAGTATAAAAATAATGCTTTGTTATGTTAATACTTTCTGTGAGGATTAAACTGCTTCATTTTTATGTAATTCAACTACAACTACACAAAGTCATTAATTTCCCACTAATAGCTTATTAATGAATTATGATATATACAAAATGTGATCATTCTCTTCTTTCAGATTTTGTCATACATGCTATCTTCTTACAAAGAACTTTGATTATTCTCCTATTTAAAAGAACATTCAACATAGCTAACTTGAATTTTTTTTGTTCTATAGTATGTACTGCCTTCTGATGTTCTATATTTTACTTATATATGTGCTTATGGCCTGCCTCCACCACTAGCACAGTGAGGTAAAACATCATGAAGCTTGTGACTTCAGGGATGTGGTCTGTCTTTATTAATGCTCTATCAGGATACCGGAAGAAACTTGTATAGAATAGATTGTCACTAAATATTTATTGAATAAACAGGAAAATAATTCTAGAGTAAGATGACTCGTATAGAAAAAAGAATTCATAAAGGATCAGGGGTGGTTGGAGTGTAATGAAAAATGCTCTGGATAAAATATTTTTATTATTTTAGGTAACATGTTTTTCAACATAATTTACAATCAGAAGCAGATTTTTGTGAATTTCTATATTCCCTTTTACAATATATTCAGTTTTATAGAGCTGCATTTGGCATAATTTTGAGATGGAAAAGAAGAATGTAGCCCTCAGTACTCTGGATTCATGTTCCCTATGAAGATATTAAATTATTAGTGAAATGATGAGGTGAGTACTCACTGTCAAGTCACTGATGAGGTGAATACTCACTGTCAAGTATGCAAGTGTGTGAGCTCAAGGCCAGCCTGATCTACATAATGAGTTCCAGGACAGCTGGGGCTATAGGGAGACCCTGTCTCAAAAAGACCACAAAAAAAAAAAAAAAAAAAAAAAATAGAATGCTGAATCAGATATGATACCCATAGGCTGCTATTTTTTTTCCTCATTCAGTCATCCTCACTGTAACTTATTTTTCAGTACCATGGATATTCTACAAAAACACATCACACTTTTGTTCCTATTGATTTCCTAGCATGCATTGTACTTGGGAAGTCGACCCTAAGTATAGTTGGTTGCCCTGATATTTAAAGCTTCTTTTGGTGTTTAATGAAGCAAAGCACTCAATAACTCAATAGGTGGGGGCGTTGGTACCAAAGCAGCTGGAGTCATAGCTCATTTTGGCATTTATGACTGATGTAGGATGAAGGAAGTAGCAATATGCCAGGTGGAGATAAGTCATTTAGCCAGCTGATTACATCAAATTCCTTCCAATATAATCAGCTGGGACACATTTACCAAAAAGGCATTTCAAATCACTGTACAGAAGTTGAACTAATCACTCAGGTATATGCCTTAATATTATGTGCTTATAGAAGGCACTTAATAAAAGGTGATTAGAATATATGGAGGAGAAAATTAACAAAATCATAGCCTGATTTTTTAATGTTAGATTTATTTTTATTTTATTTAAACTGGATACTGCTCTAATCAAATACTATGTTACTTATCAATGAATCTTTGAAACAGATTAAAATTTATATTGATTCGTCAGCTAAAAAAATATGAAAAAGTGTACTAGAATCTAGAATATTTCACACCTGATTTTCTTTGCATCATTCTCCATATCATGAGTCAATCAAAATTAGATTATAACTCATTTTTAAATTTCTCTCATTCTCCATTGCTATGTCTGCAAGCCTCTGGGTCAGAATTCAGCTGTGTAGTGTCATGCATACATTCCTCTTGATTAAGAGGCACTGTTGGTTGGTTTGATGAGGTTTTACATAGTCCCTTGATCCTGTACAGTTCATTTAAACTGTCTTTCCATTTTCACATTTCATTACATAGAGAAAATTAAACACAGGAAGGATTACAGCATAGTATACATAATTTTTCCAACCTTTGAAGCTGATGACATGACAAATGGCAATAAAAGTGTGTTTTAAATCAGTGTAGTAGCATTGAAATTAACATAAATGGTGGTGTTCTATTACTGTCTTCCTCCTTTATTTAAAAAAAAAAAAAGAGAGAGAGAAAGACAAATGTTGAATAGTCTTGCCTGGGTCTATAACAAAGACTTTGCATGCTGCCTGTTTAAGCTATTCTCAGAGCTAAATGATTCCTTTTCTTAAGAGCTTTAAAGCTCTGACAACATCAGAATTAGAGTTTCTGCATATCATGAGGCCTATTGGTAACAATCCTATGTTGTGTACTGCAAGATTTGTCAAGATGGTAATCCTTATGTTAAATGTTACCAAAATAAAAACAAACAAAAATGTTTCTGTTTTTTTTTCCCTTGCTTGTTTTCTTTTTATTTGTAGCATTATTATATTTCTATCAACTCCTCTGAAATAAAAATTAATAACTGTTTGAGGGCTGGAGAAATGGCTCAGCAGTAAAGAGTGTATATTGCGCTTTCAGAGGACCCAAGTTCCATTCCCAGTGCCCGTATCAGGTGGTTCACAACAGCCTGTAACCTCAGGTACAGGGGAGTTTACCCATTCTTCTAGCCTCCACGGGCAACCACAAACAAATAGCACATACACACATGCACACATATGCACATAAATAAAAAGAAAAATCTTTTAAAAATAATTGTTTAAATAACAATTGACACAAAATATTTTCCTTACCATTTCAAAATGACTTTGCCAGACCAGGTTGAAAAATACCAGTTCTAAGTCAGAAAAACACATCAAAGTATTAGTGGAACATTTTT